CAGGATGGGAGTGGCAGGGGGGGGGGGTGCAGCCAGTCCCCAGTGGGTACCGTTTCTACAAGCAGGGCAGCCTCTCCTGCCCACTCCCAGCCCCTGCAGCCTGCCCTCAGGCCCCACCTCCCTCTCCTGACGTTGCGGCCTGGTTTCCCCCCACTGCTGGTAGCTAGCCACCCTTGGTGGGGAGGCTTAGCAGGAAGGACACCTGGGTTTACAGGCTGAAATTCCTCTTCGTGGATTCTGAGTCAGCCAGGGCACCTGCTTCACCCACCACCGCCCAGAGCCCAAGTGGTGCTGGGAGGGAAGATGTTTGTTCTTGGCCTTTCAGCTCAAGCCAGAATGTCCTGGAATGTCAAGGGAGGCCAAGGTTCCCTGGTGACCTACCCATGCTCATCCGGTACGACCTTACGGCTTCTGTGAGCTCAGAGATTTCCAGAACTTCTACTTCAGCTTCTAGCACATCTATGTTGGAGAAATTATCTGGCAGCAAAATCTTCTGTGAACGGAGAAAATTTACTTGAAAGGAAAAGGAAGACAAAATGAGTTAATGAGGTTATTTCTTGTTTAACTGTAGGTCTAGGTTTTGGCAAGTTTTCAGTGCCGCACCGTATCCTAGGCTCTGCTTGTTGTAAAATGATTTTAAAACACACCTGATTAGGTTAACTTTGTGCGTTTATAGGTGAGAGACCCCAATTACTCTGTTTCCTGTGTCTGAGTCCATGGGTGCAGCCTCTCCTGGCCTGGCCTGGAACTCCCAAGCAGGCCCTCCTGCAGAGCACACTGACCCTGAGACTTACCCTGTGAGTCTTGAACCAAGGGCAGGTCATTCCAAAAGAGGGTGTTGTCTTGCTGCCCAGCCAAGCCTGGGCTGGCAGTTGGCACTTGCGCTTTGTCTCTGCCTGGATTGCAGTGTGGGAGGCAGAGACGGAGCCAGCGCTAACAGCCTGTGTGAATCAATTTGGAGATGCAGAAGCACATCACGGACCACTTCCTAGGCGACTACGAATAGGAACGGCAGTAGCTCCGGGCACTGGGCCCCTCACGCAACCTGGGTGTTCACTGCCAGCAGCAACGACATCTTGGGAGCACAGGGGACACTCAGTTCACGTCCCCAACAGAGCTTGTGCTGGGACAGTGCAGGGAAGGAGGTGCTCAGGTACCTCTGGGGAACCTCAATCACGCTCCATGCACCTTCCTTTTCACTCGAGTTGGTGGTGGGACCATCCTCTGAAACAATCCTATCTCATTTAACGGTAAGAGGAGCGCAGGCCTGGCGCCTGCTTGGATGCGTCAGGGCGGAGTAAGAAGAGAAGCTGACTGGAGTCCAGCCCAGCACTCTGCCCTTCACACTGGCTCCTGCGACTCCTGACACCGCCTCAGGTGGTTTCCAGTGCCTCTTTACAGCCAGGCCATCCCCAAACAGGGAGTAAAACAGCTCTGAGCCTGGGGGAGTCTAATGCTAGAACCTGTTTGTCTTCTGGAAGGCTCTGTCATGTTTTCACCACCACTGCCCAGGGAGGTTCCTGAGAGCCTGTACACCAAGCTGGGCCCGTGGGGTGTAGGATGAGGAGGGGTAGGTGGTCTGTGCCCCTACCCCCAACACACACCACCCCTGGACAGAGCAATCACCAATGAAGCGGAACTCGCTGCACTCGCACTCGATCAGGGCCACAGTCTCCGCCAGCCACAGCAGGTTGTCTTCAGTCACCAGGCTCGGATACTTGGTCACCAGGTCTAGGGGCAGGAAGCAGTAGTGCACTTCCTCTTCTGTGTCTAACAGCGGAGTGTCCATGAGCCCCAAAGGCGCCTTATCGTGCAGACCTGGAGGGGAATGCACAGGGGGCGTCACCACCTCCCAGAGGCCAAGCTCTGTCTTCAGGGCTCTCACTGGCCCAGGGCCCCAAAGGAAGCTGGAGAGACCACCCAGGAGATGGCCCCTACCATGCACTTCCTTCTCTCTTTTCAGAGGTAGCCCTAAGGTTTAGAAGGAGTATGGGGTGGGGGTGGGGGGAAGCAAAGCATAGAAATCTATTTTTCTATAGACAGTGAACAGAGTGGGACATGTGACATTTTAGCTTATATACCCAAAGTCATTAAATTAATTTACCCATGTGGTTATTTCTAATTGATCAACCACTGTGACCTACAGATGAAATAGATGCCTTTAACATTTCTAGAAGCTCAAAACCCATCAATAACCATGACTGCCTTATTCTGGTGTCCCGGGCAGGCTGACCTATGCTGCAAGGCGCTTATCAGACAGTGGTCATCTGAGGACAGCCTAAACGAGTGATGGAGCTCCCCGACTTCTAGCCTCGTCCGAGTGACACTGGCATGCAGAGGAATGAACGCGGAGGAGGCTGCTTAGTTCCAGTGGGCAAACAACCACGGAGCACGCAGACCGAGGGAGAGGACAGAGAGGTAGAGAGAGCACCCAGAACTCAGGAATCAGGGGGCTCTGGGTGGATGCCATTTCTGTTAGGGTGAGTACAAGGGAAGCTGGTGTGGGCTTCAGGGAGGGCCACCCTGTCCTGATTTTACCTGTGAAGGCTGGGCTTTTTATTGGAAATTCTGAGGGCTTGCTGATACACTTCCATGTTCGCCAGTAGTTCAAAGACGCTCTCTCGGCAACAGGTATGTCTGCCGGCCGCACACGTAGATGGTGTTTCCCCTCCTTCAGATTGTCTAGAGTCTGTTAGATAGAGACGATTACTGCCTGCTACTCTTCACCAAGTACCTCTCTACCATCTCTAGAGTAAATGCCAGGAAAAACAGTATATGACTGACTTTGGTAAAGCACTTTGAAACAAATCAAGCCAATCAAACAAAATGCAGAAAGTTTTATAATAATTATGTATTTAATTTTATTATTTTTTAAAATTTGTGATAGGGCATGTGTACTCACCAGGGAGTGAGACAGAGAGAGTGAGAAAGCAAGCTGCCAGGTCCAGGACTTGAACAGCAGTTGGCCATGTGGGAGTCCAGTGCCTCAACTCCCACACCACCTCCTGGCCCCCCAAAATGTAAAAATTTAGGGCTCTAGGATGACATGCTGATATTCAAGAAACCAATGATTATTTATTTTCTTTTTATTTATTTCTTTATTTTTTGTTTATTTTTGCCATAGGGCACGTGTGCTTGCTGGAGAGAAATAGAGAGAAAGAGAAAGTGAGAAATTACCCTTTGGGGGGGGGATGACCATTCTACAATCCCTGCTCCTCCATTCTCCCCTCAGGATTTTGGGTACGCATGCATATGTGCCTGGGATGATTTTCAAGCCACTGAGTCTAGGGCTTGAACCACAGTCGACCATATGGAATCCAGTGCCTACTCACCACACCACTTTTTGTCCCCTCACCTCTGATTTTTGAAATCTTTTTTTCTTTTTTCAGACAGGGTCTTGCTATGTGGCAATTCTGCCTCAGCCTCCCAAGTAGCTGGGACTACAGGGTCACACCTTTGTGTGTGACCTGGATTTTAGGGAGGGCTGGGAATTGAACCCAGGCCTCCTGGTGTCCCAGTCTGCTGAGTAGCAATGTTAATCAGCATGAACTATTTTTTTTAATACTTTTTTTTTTTTTTTTTTTTTTTTTTTTTTTTTAGGGCGGCTGCACTTTCCAAAAACAAAAACGATGCACTTGCCAGAAAGACAAAGGATCTTGGGCATGCATGTACATGTGCCCAGTGTGAGTTTAAGCCACCGGGTCCAGGCCTTGAACCCTGGTCGACTACATGAGAGCTCAGCGACATAGCCATTACACTAACTGCTGGTCCCCAACATGCACTATTACGGCAGGGCTGAAACAATTGTTTCATGTTGAGTAATAGTAATTTATCTTGTACAATGTAAAGAGTAACTTGGGACAAATGTGGTGAGTGTCTTACTGGTGAAGCAATTGAGGTCAAAGGCTTTGTGACCTGTCCCAGCCGTCTTAACCACCTCACTACCTACTGAACCCAAAAGTGATCCTTTTCAAGGCAATATACGACCAACTTTTTTTCTCTAAGATCTTCATAATGGACAGGATGCCTCAGATTCAGTAGGAAAGTAATAAAAAACAAACAAAAAACAAAAAACAAAAAAAACCCTGCTTTTAATCACTGGCTAAGCCCTTGATGAAGCCCTTGTGAAGTTTCTCTTGGGAATCCTAGGTGTTGAGAAAAGCCCCCTGGTGGCCACAGCTATATTAGTATCACATAGTGCTTTGGGTCTGCAAAAGGTGGACCAGAATGGGAGAACTGGGGCCAGCAGGTGGCGTGGAGGTTACAATGCTGGATCACACATGGCCCGTGATTCGAGTCCTGGACCTGGTAGCTTGAAAATCATGCCAGGCACATGTGCTTACATGCTCAAAATCCTCAGAGGAGAATGGAGGAGAAAGGATTGTATCATGGCCATCCCCCCAGGGCATGATTTTTCACTTTCCCTCTCCCTGATGAGTGCACACTCCCTATAGCAAACACACACACACACACACACACACACACATACACACAAGAATGGGAAAATCTTCCCCACGTTGGGTGACCATAGAAGTAGAGAAGGACTGGGCAATGGCTGGGCTGCAAGGAGTGTTTTCCTGTGGTATTGAGTAAGGGGTAGGGGGTGGGAGTTAAATGCTGGAAAAGGGTCTATAATTCATTTTTTAAAATTATTTAATTTTACTTATTAATTCATTTTAATTTGACCAGAGAGAGACAGAGAGAGAAAGAGGGAAAGTGAGAAAGGAAGTTCACCAGGTCCGGGACTTGAACCGTGATCAGCCACATGAGAGTGTCCAGTGCCTTAACCACCACACCACCAGCTGCCCCCCCATTCATTCATTTTAGAAACACTTGTTATGCACCACCAAGGCCTAGTCAAACACCATTCCTAGACCCAAGGTACTTCAGCTTGAGAGAGAAGAAAGGCAATTACTGACTTCTACTGAGATAAGAGCCAGCAACAACATGAAGTTTCTGGACCTTCGGGAACCCTGGGATTTATTTCCTCAGCATTTGAAGGGGACCCCAGCTTTCTGGTTCCTCTTCATTTGGGACTGCAAGCTTTAGCTTCTATGTCGAGCTGTCGGCTCTCCTGAGGAAGAGAACGGGGGAGGGATGGTTTTCTGCATGAAAGGGTGGCTGGCCTCGAACAAAGAGGGATAAACACGAAGTACCAGGAAGGTGACAAAGAGGCCAGAACAAATCCTGCATCCCTAGGTGGGCAGGCATATTGTGGCAAGGTGAGGGACAATAGCCTGGTAGTGTTTGTGCTTAGAAATAGGACAAAGCAAGGAAAATGTTGTCTGTGTCAGGAGGGAGAGGAGGGGATGAGGGCTGGGGAGTGGGTAGGGACGCAGACTGAGTCACCCGCCTTTGTGCCTCAAGTGTAACCTTTTATAAGGTGCGAGAAGTTGTGGGAGTGAAGGAGATGAAATCTAGAGCAACGAACAAGAGCCAGAGAACAAAAGGCTCTGAGCTGCCTGGAGAGTTCTGATTTATCCCCGGTAAGGAGAAGCCCTGAGGAGTTAAAGCAGGGACTGTTACTTGGCTGTAATTCACACTGTCAGCCAGCAAGTCTGATGACTCTGTCTCCTTCCTCCATCTGCTCTCTCTCTCTTCCCCAGTCCTGGCCCCTTGGTTCCCCACCCCAGGCCCTTTCTACATAGTGATTTTTAAAACACATGAACAAGTCTAAGTCACTCCCAATTTTCAAAAAATTTCTATTTTCCCCTTGTCTACAGGATCAAGCCCAGCTCCCCTTAGAACTGTACGTGAGGTCCTTAACCCACGAGCAGCAGGTAAACACCAAAAGCATAGGGCTTTGGACTTAGACCTGGCTTTGAATCTTCATTCCATGACTTAAAGCTAACATTTAGGGACCAGCAGATGGCATAATGGTTGTGTAGCTGGACTCCCACGTAGTCAATCATGACTTGAGTCCTGGACCCATCGGCTTCAAAGTCAGACCGGAAGGGTGTGCTTGTGTGCCCAAGATCCCGAGAGGAGAATGGAGGAGAAGGGATTGCAGTATGGCCATTCCCCTGGGAGAGTGATTTCTTGCTTTCTGTCTCTCTGCCAAGTGCATGCGCCCTATAGCAAAAATCTCTCTGGAAAGAAAAAGAAAGAAAGAAAGCTAACGGTTATTGCCCATTTTTAATCTGATCCCTTCTCATAATCCCCTGCCCACAAAGTAGGCTCTGGTATTATCACTCCCTTTGAGCACATGGGAAACCAGGCCCAGGAAGAGGCTGGGGATCCAGTACCCCAAGTTGGTGGCGATGCTGGGAGGATGCTAGATTCCCAGTTCTTAAGCACAGTTCTTACCAGTCACCTCCCACTTGTCACAGAACTTGCAAAGCCTCAGGCCTTACAGGTGAAATGGAGACAGTAAAATCTGGAAGGTGTTATAAAGATTAAAGGAAATACTATGCTAACTTATTTCCTCTTCATGGTAAGATCCCAGACTACCTTTCCAGCCTCCTCTCCCACCATTCTTTCTGTTTTCATCCCATCGTCAGTGACATGAAACCACAGAAGCTCCAAAACCACACCATGATCTTCCATGCCTCCTCTGTTTCTTAGGCTCAGAATATTCCTCTGCCTGGACCTCCCCAGCCCGAGCAGGTCACCCTCCTCCTTTACTCTCACAGAAACACACACACTTCTTAATGCAGGCCTCTAGCTTGGTTTCAGACCTGTCCTTTTGCAGAGGGAGGGGTTGAATTGATGCACCCTCACCTCCCAGTCTAGAACCGGGCATGGAGTAAGTGCTCAGAACTGCCATTACATGAAAGAATGCCTGGAAATGGAGGGCTGGACGGCTGAGTCCTCTAGGAAAGGAAGCAAAGAGAGTCACGGGGGATCCCAAAAGGAGCTGGTGGGGAAGTGGACTGTGCCCATAAAACTAAGAAAGATGCTGAGTACCCCAAACCAAAGGAAAAGCCAGAATAGGATTACCACCAGCCGTGCCCACAGAGAGGAGAAGGCAGCGAAGAGAGCGATTCCAGCTGGGGACCTGGAGGCCAGAAGGAGGACTTAAGGGTTTGAGGTATGGGGATGGAGAAGAGGGAGAGAGGATGGCAGGAAGAAAGGGCCCAGTGTGGGTCTGATGATAATGGACAGAAAGATGACGGGCTGATTAGCAAGAAAAGAGTGAAACTAGGCAGGGCGGGGAAGAGAGAGCACAGCACCCCAGGCCCACACTAAGCTACCACGTCACAGGAAGTTACTTTACCTGCAGATTCAAACTCTGAGATTCTGTTTCAGCAGAGAACACGGTGGTGCCATCGAATGACTCTAAAATGACCACACGAGATGAGAAAAATCACTTCTAGGACAACACCCATTTGCAGTGTTGAGAACAGCCCTATTTGGAGTGTTGTTTGGGGTGGCTCAATCATGACAGTCCAACCAGCTTGAGAGGAGCCGTGCTAGTTGAGGGGAGGATGAGCTATTCTGTAGAATGCAATCTCCATTTCCCGCTGTTTCCACTAATGTAAAGTATGAGCAGCATCGTTTTACCCAAGAAAGGTATGTTTGAGAAAATCTTTTAAATTTTTTTTAAGTTCACATATTTCTTTCTTTCATGAGAGGGATAGTACCCCCAACAGGGTCTTGATGCCTCAATCCACTTTTCAACCTCAGCAACCCTAGATCGCCGGTTTGTGTGTCTGGCGTACCAAGGGAGGTCTCCAAACGTGAAGCTAG